AAAAAAAAAAAAAAAAAATTAAAATAGCATACTTCTGATTCAAAGTATTATTATTATTATTTTTGTTGTTGTTGTTGAGATAGTATTTGCTCTGTTGCCCAGGCTAGAGTGCAATGACACGATCTTGGCTCACTGCAACCTCCGCCTCCTGGGTTCAAGCAATTCTCCCGTGTAGCTGGGACTACAAGCACCGACCACCACACCCTGCTAATTTTTGTCTTTTTAGTAGAGACAAGGATTCGCCATGTTGGCCAAGCTGCCCTTGAACTCCTGACCTGAGGTTATCTACCCGCCTTGGCTTCCCAAAGTTGATTCAAATTATTTTAACAAACTATTTTTAATTTTTTCACCTCTCAACAGGCATGGTTACAATGTTATCCAGTGAGGTACTTCAGAGGGTGTCTCACTGTTACAAAAGCCTGTCTTGGTCACAAAACCTGGTCTTTTCTTTCCCACCTTTGGATGCCAGTTGGGAAAGGAGGCTTTTGAAACATATGTTAAAAATGTCCCCTCCTGAGATTGAGGTCAGTGGTTCTCAGTCTATGGCAGGTCTCCTTTTACACTATATACTGTAATACTAATTAGCACTGATCAGATTGTTATTGTTATCTTTTGTCTTGATGCAGGTGTCATGTCCCATTTTTTTGTAAGATAGAAACATGTTTGCACATAGAAAAAGTTCAAATACCCCTTGACAAACCAAAAGCTAATGTATCACTTCAAATGTCTTATCAGAAGACAGATGGTAGCCCAGACATTGTGGCTCATGCCTGTAATCAAGCCTAGCACTTTGGGAGGCTCAGGTGAGTATCACTTGAGGTCAGGAGTTCAAGACCAACCTGGCCAACATGGTGAAACCCCACCTCAACTAAAAATATAAAACATTAGCTGGGCATGGTGGCACAGCCTGTAGTCCCAGCTACTTGAGAGGCTGAGGCAAGAGAATCCCCTGAATCCCAGAGGCAGAAGTTGCAGTGAACCTAGATCACAGCACTGCAAAAAGAAAATAATAGAAAAGAGAAGAGAAAAGAAAAGACAGATGGTAAAAGAAAACTTAGCATATAGGCCCTAGCCAGGAAGAATTTACAAAACTTACTTTTGAATCTTACTGTTTCAAGAACTATTTACAATGTGTCTGACTTGACTCAATAGATGCTCTTCCTTAAAAACACAGCTTAAAATCTTTTTTATAAATCGCAATTTTCTAACCTAGGTAAGTTCAAAAACACTTGTACTCACTTGAGATTTTTTTTTTCTTTTGAACAGGTTCTTGTTCTGTTGCCCAGGCTGGAGTGTGGTGGTGCCATCTGGGCTCACGGCAATCTCCGCCTCCCCAGTTAAAGAGATTCTCGTGCCTCACTCACCCAAGTAGCTGGCGTGCACTACCGCACCCGACTAATTGTGGCATTTTTAGTAGAGAGGGAGTTTTGCCATGTTTCCTAGGCTGGTCTCAAACTCCTGGACTCCAGCTATCTGCCTGCATCAGCCTCCCAAAGTGCTGGGATTACAGGTCTGAGCCACCGCGCCAGGTTAGAGATTGACTTTCTTTTGTTTTTTGTTTGTTTGAAATGACGTCTCACTCTGTCGCCCATGCAGGAATGCGGTGGCACAAAATCGGCTCACTATAACCTTCGCCTCCTGGGTTCAAGCGATTCTCCCGCCTCAGCCTCCCGAGTAGCTGGGACTATAGGCGCGCGCCACCACGCCCAGTTAATATTCGTATTTTTTTTTTTTCGTAGAGACGGGGTTTCACCATGTTGGCCAGGCTAATGAACCACCACCGCACCCGGCCCAGATTGACTTTCAGTTTACAACAGCTGTTAACTAACTGCTAGCTATTTGATTTGGGAAGTGGAGAAGCAAATATTTTCTACACATCCATTCAGATGCTCAAGAATGTCCCCGGAAAGCATAGTGATAGTAGGTTATGAATATCCCCTGAAATTACAATTTCAATTTTTTTTTTCAACTTAGTGAAACCCCATCTCTACTAAAAACACAAAAATTAGCCAGGCGTGGTGGTGGGGTGCCTATAATCCCAGCTGCTCAGGAGCTTGAGGCAGGAGAATCGCTTGAATCCTGGAGGCAAAGGTTGTGGTGAGCGGCGATCACACAACTGCAGTCCAGCCTGGGCGAAAGAGCGAGACTCCGTCTCAAAAAAAGAAAAAAAAAAAGCCGGGCGCGGTGGCTCAAGCCTGTAATCCCAGCACTGTGGGAGGCTGCGGCAAGCGGATCACCTGAGGTCAGGACTTTGAGACCATCCTGGCCAACGTGATGAAGCCCCGTCTCTACTAAAAATACAAAAATTAGCCAGGCATGTTGGCATGCGCCTGAAATCCAGGCTATTCCAGAGGCTGAGGCAGGAGAGTCGCCTGAACCCGGCAGGCGGAGGTTGCAGTGAGCCGAGGTCGTGCCATTGCACTCCAGCCTGGCAAACGAAAGCAAAACACAGTCGCAAAAAAAAAAAAAGAGAAAAAAAATTAATTTTAGGATGTTGTGTCAGTCAAAATATACTTGCTTCTACTGAGAGACTTCTACTAAATATACATTTAAGTATATATTTTACAAGGCATGACCCTGGGAGCCCTGAAGAGTGAGACTAAATTGCAGCTACAAATAAATCGTGCAAGAAATCAAAGCAAACTATATTCAGAGTCTAAATCCAAAATATGCATTCTGGTTCTTAAATTCCAGGTTCGGAAAAAAATGCCAACAGTAATAAAAAAAAAAATGGCTTTGAAAGCATCTAAAATTCCTCAAAAGTGCTGAAACAAAAGACTCAGCTTCAAGTACAACCTTATGTTATTTCAAAATAAATAAACACACTTGATAAGGCTTGGAATGAAATCACCTCAGTCATTTACTGGAATGCAACAATGCATTCTCAAAGTTGTTCTGAAGTAAGCTACTCCAACTAAACCACACTGAAAAGGAGAGAATGTGGATAAACTAAACATCTTTTGTGAAATATCTGTTTCGTATTGGCCTGAGATTTTTTAAAGTTACATTTCATTATCAGTATTTATTGTGCAAGAATTATCATCAAAGGATGTCAATGTGGACAAGTAGAGACAAGACAAGAAACATCAGACTTTCAGGGAGCTTATCTTCACAATCCTGAGTTACTAATTGAAGTTCTCAAAGTTAGCTAAGGTAACAGACAACTTGCTTTGTACAATTGCTTTGTACAACTTGCTTTGTATAGTAGCCACTCAATAGTTATTAACAAGAATTTATTAACTATCCACCAAAACAGTTTCAAACCCTACGGACAACTAACCACAAAGTGCACTTTTCTGGCCCAGCTTCTACGGACGGTGCGAAGAAGCAATAAATACACTTTTATAACTATCCACCTTGAAGACCAAAAAGATACAATAACTTAAACTGCTTTCCAAAACTACTGGAATGTCATGCCTACAAATTCATAATCTGACTTAAAAGCTAGTTAACTGGTCAGAATTCTCGGTAGACCCAAAGCCAACTAAATCAGGAACACTTAAAGGTCAAAGGCGTCCAAGCCGGAGCAATGTGCTCCACTGTTACACGGTCCCCGCCTCCTACAGGAACAGGGGACTGAACCAAAGGAAGGCGCGGCAGAAGTGCAGCGGACATACCGGGTTACACATCACCCTCGCGGATTTCCTCCAGGAATCAAGACGCTTCCACCTTGGGTCCAGCGACTCACGGGTGACCCCTGATCTCAAGAGTTCTCGCCTCCCGCACCCCCTAATTAAGCCTGCGAGAGCCGCCCTCGGCCACCAGACCTCCCCGGCCCCCCGGCTTCCGCGCGCTGGACCTGCGAGGCCGCCGCTCCAACCTCCACCCCAGGCCGGGGGATGGGAGCTGCGGCCTCGCGGCCCGCGCCCCCACCCTGGCCCCCGCGCCCGCGGCCCGGACAGGATACTGAACACGGTCCGCTCCCAGGGCTCCAGCATGTAGAGCGCCGTGACCAGCAGGTACTGGTAGTAGAACCAGGACATCTGTTTCCAGGCCCGCGCCAGCGCCATCCCCGCCATGCGCCTCCCGCGATGCGGCTCACACGTCAGTCTGTCCGGCAGGCCTCCAGCTCACGTCCTAAAACCCCCGGCCGCCAGGCCCGCCCGCCCGCCACCTGGCGCCCATTGGCCCGCACGGCCCCGCCGTCACCCGCGGCACGCCCAGCCCCGCGCGCGCCCCGGCCGCAGGCCTCGCGCCCCGCCCGGCCAGCGCTCATTGGCCAGGCCGCTACCTTGCGTCGCGTCGTCCCCTCCCGCTTCCCCGCCCCGGCATCGCCCAAGCGAGCCGGAAAACGGTCCCAGCGGGAGTGCCCGGCCGCGCCCCGCCCCGCCCCGCCCCGGCCGGCTGGTGGTGGGCGGGGCGACAGGGCCGGCCCGAGTCCCCTGGGGTCCCCCCGGGTCCCCGCAGCTCAGCGGGCGCTCTGTCCATCCAGACCAGCCCAGAGCGCTTGCCGAAGAAGTATTTCTGGAACACTTGTTATGCCTCAGGCATCCTGGGGAGGGGGATCGTCAGGAAAAACCGAATGCCATCGATTGCTTACCTCCTGCAGCTGGCGGTCTAGCGAGGGAGACAGGCGTTAATCAAGTCGTGATCCGTGTCAGAGAATAATCCGAACGCCACTTTAGGAGATTTGGAAGGCGTCTCTGTAGAAGGGATGCACACTTGGCGTCCTTCCTCCCTTCCCCCACCCATACACACACACAAAAACACAACCACCTAGACGGACATAACCCATGCACCCCCTAACCTAAAAACCACTTACCAAAAGTATCTGTCTGCCCACCTCTTAGTGGCTACAGGTAACCACCAAGTGGGTCAAGGCCAGAAGCACGCTGATCTAGTGGGTTCTGCAGATGATAGGCAACTTGAGATAGCTGTGAGGGTTGCTGATATCTCCTAGATACAAACTCACTCCTGGATACCCAGATTTTCCCACTGCCAAATGGGCCAGCAGCACTGCACCGGCCACCTGGAGCTCCAAGCACTGTTTAGCATGTGAAACGCCACAATTAAATGGCCTGCTGTTTAAATGTTAAAAGTCTTCCAGGTTAAACAGCCTACTGCTTATTAGCCAGTCGTGGTAGCTGGTAATCCCAGCCATTCAGGAAGCTGAGGCAGAAAAATCGCTTGAACCCAGGAGGCAGTGGTTGCACTGAGCTGAGATCGCCCCATTACACTCTAGCCTGGGCAACAAAAGCAACACTCCAGCTAAACAAAACAAAACAAAACAAAGAAAAAATAATTTGCGGCTGGGCGCAGTGGCTCACGCCTGTAATCCAAGAACTTTGGAGGCCAAGGCGGGCAGATCACCTGAGGTCGGGTGTTCAAAACCGGCCTGACCAACATGGTGAAAAAATTTATTAAAAAAAAATTTTTATAAAAAATTTAAAAAAGGCCGGGCGCGGTGGCTCAAGCCTGTAATCCCAGCACTGTGGGAGGCCGAGGCAGGTGGATCACGAGGTCAAGAGATCGAGACCACCCTGGTCAACATGGTGAAACCCCGTCTCTACTAAAAATACAAAAAATTAGCTGGGCATGGTGGAGCGCGCCTGTAATCCCAGCGACTCAGGAGGCTGGGGCAGGAGAATTGCCTGAACCCGGGAGGCGGAGGTTGCGGTCAGCCGAGATCGTGCCATTGCACTCCAGCCTG